TCTATCCTTTTAAAGAAATGTTTGCCTTAAAAGAATTTTTTTAAAAAATCTAATGAAATGGAGATAAAATTTTTAGCATTTCTCATAGAACCCTCAAACCTCCGTGAATACTTATGTAAGTTCTCAATTTGAGCACTTCGAGAACCACTGCTCTACTACATTGTTATAGGATCCCCTGCGGATGGATAGATAGGTCCCCAGATGCAACACCAGCATCTCAACAGAGGTGTGTGGGGGATTCACTTTTAAACCAAATGGCAAGGAGTTTTAACTTTAACTTTAATAATAATAAATGTGGAAAACACACACATATATCATTGTTATTAAAGAAATATTTATGCTCTGCTGTGCTTCAAAGATTCAATAATATGAAAGAGTACTGAAAGTAGAGTGCAATAAGAAAATCAATTAACTTAAAAACATTAGAGCAAAATCCAGGTTGTTCCTCCCCCTCTATGCTCAGTTTGAAACATGATCTGTTCTGTTGATCTACTTTTGACCACTATTTCAACACACACACACACACACACACGCGCGCGCGCGCGCACACTACACACACCAGTGAGATATTTATGGCTCTCTGAAACTTGCTCTAATGCAATAATCCACAAACACAGCAGATGGCCTGTAATGACTGAACTGTTGTTAAATTTGTGTTCCATGGTTAATTACACACTCATTTCTTAAAACCTAAAATACATGGAGGGTCATTATTCCCAACAAAAAACACACACTCATATTTGCATATTATAATCAATCATAATATCATACAATTTTATAGATAACAATTTTCAAATAATTAAGAATATTAAAATATGATTAATATACAATTAAAATGAACATAACTTTTCTAATGTTTCAATCTCTAGAAAACTTGTAAACATCGGGATCTTAAGAAGTAGCATGCCTTTATTCAGTAACACTCAAAAATTCCCATTAGTCATCCTAGATGGATTCTCTATATAAAGTGGTAGTTAAAGTATGTATAAGACATTCCTCTTTTCTAGCAAAGTTCCAGCTAGGGATAGAGAAAGAGCCATACTCAGAGTTTATATGACTTAATAGAGTCAGATCCAATCACTCAATGTCAAGACTAAGGTAATTCACCATACTAAGACCCTATGTTTTTTGACTGTTGCCCTTTGTCAATTTTTTATGATTATTTTATGTAGAAACCCCAGTGCAGGAGTATGGTATCTTTATTTTTCTGTGTTTGTTCATTCATTTTTAATGCCTCATTTATAAAAAAAATTTTGTCCAGGCATGAATAATAAATGCAACAAAGGGTTACATATGATTTGGTAGGAGGGGATCTATGGAGTGGCAGATTTCAAGTAAAGTCCATTTCCACTAGGATGGAGGGGTGAGGAGAGTAATGGAGAGATTTATGAAGGTGCAGCAGGTGGAGGTGGAAGACCGTAATCTGGAAGATTCCTTTAGTTTCAGTGTTCCGGGATCCATATTTGCTCCTGGGCTCAGCATCAGTAGATCACTCACTGGCAGCAAAGGACATAAGAGACTGCTTAGAGCAGACAATTGTAAGATCGCAGATCAGAGAGATACCTTATATTTGTTGCAAAGCTGGGAAGCCTGATTGAGATGGCAAAGGTACAGAGAATGCAGTCATCTTTGGTTTAACTTTGAAATCCTAATGGAGATTGGGTTTGCAGTTACCCATACTGTGTTGGACTCTTCCTTCTCATTACTATCTCAGACTTTTCCCCTTGGGGCGGGATTGAAGTTCAAACAGCATGGAATCTAATAGTGCCATATTGCAAACAATTAGCCATCCCCAGGAGTCTTATTGACAGTTCATTAATGAGGGAGGACATGAACTGAAGCCCAGGTGAGTTGTGCTTCCTTAGACCCAGCTCACAAGGATGCTCTGTTTCCAGGCAGGATGAGATAGCCATGGGGTTTTTTCTGTAAGACACTTTCTGAAACTCAGTGACTGTTGAACAAAATCTCAGCAGAGGGATTCTGATACCCAATTTATGACTATGTACATAGTCAAAGAAAAATGAAGAAATATGGAGAGAACAATATAAGCTGAAAAAAATGATGTATTATTTGCCCAACAAAAACTGGTTTTTTGGTTTTTTTTTTTTTGCTATTGCTAGCATAATGTGCTAGACTCTTCAATCTTGCTGAGTTATTTTTAATTTTAATTCTTTCCCAAGAGGTTGTGCTTATTCTTTTTTCACATTGTATGGAATATATGTCCCATTTCAAGATTATTTCTCAGTAGTTTTAAATTGAGAAGACATTTTTATTAAATGGGAAGGAATTCAAGATATTTTAAGTTTGAGTCAATCAGTGTGAAGGAAAGAAAGGAGTGGAATAAAGAGGAAGGGAGGAAGAAAGAGGGAGGTCGGGGGCAGCGGGAGAGAGAGAAAGACATTGAAATATGCAAGGATCCAGCACAAGAAAAAAAAGACATTTTCAAGAAAAATTACAGTTATGATAGGCCTTCCTTTCTCCAGGGGGTATTGAAAAATACAACTTTTCTTATGGTCTAGTATTGCCTGGGTCTGGGGTGGCAGCTGTTAGGAACAGCAGCACTTAAGGTCAATGATCATTTACTTGGGAGAGGGCTTATAGGCAATTTGGAACATTAAAGTTTCCAATTACAAAAAAGTTTTATAGTTACTTTGTTAAAGATTTGTTTTTACCAGTTACCTATCTATTGCCCTAATTTCTGCTATTCTTTCTTGAGAGCCTTAAATTAAATTTCCAATATCCTTGACATTGTTACCAGCAAATATATTTATGCTTTAACAAAGTCAAGATTTGTATATCAATGTAGGTAGAAAAGGTAAGGTACACCTTTGACTGGGTTTATTCTTATTTTGATACATAATTCTTGATATTTGCTCCAATTCATGAAGTCCCTAAGAATATTAGAGAAGACACAAAGAAATATATTTTTAACTATACCTAGGCAAAGTTGAACATCACCTATTTGATTAAAGTTTTAAATAATGCCCTCTTTTAAAAATATTTTGCATTGTTTTCTACTTGTTTTTGCTCAGAGCTGATGTTGTTGCCTTGTGGTTAACATTTTCTTCAAAATCTCTGGGCCTGTTCACTGTTCTGTTTTCTCTATTGGTTTTATATCCAGTTGTCAACTTTCCTGTATTTGGTGCTACCATTCCATGATGTTGATTTTTCTGAAACACAAAGGTGATTTTTAGTTATTTTCCAATATTTATATCGGCTCCAAAGTGAAGGAAGCAGAGCGGATGTGAATGGAAGTCTTGTCCTGGGTGGACGGTTCTTGGTATTTTCCAGTACATGTGGGAGTCGTCAGACTCTCTACTTTTAAAATTTGAATATTTACCCTAATCCCTCCTCCACTCCCCACACCCATAGGGTGGGAATTGTATGGGGAATATAACCAAGATGAAAATGCATACACTGTGCAAAAATGAAAAATGATGTAAAAAATATTTAAATTAAAAAATGTGAATATTGATTCTAATATTTTCATTATTCTTTATGATCAGTTTGCCATATGTTTTGTTTTAGGGCAAACTTGCCATTCTCAATAAGAAAAATACTCCATTTATAGTTGAGGTTGATTTTCGTGATGTGAGTTTGAGCAAATGTGACAGTGAGAATAAATGTAGTCTATTTACTGGCACAAAGAAGGGCTTCCCCTAAATCAGAATACTCTCTTAATTCTTTTTCACCATTCCTTTCTACAGAGAGATTCTAAGCCTAAACTACGTGTTCTCTCCAAAAATTTGCAAACCTCAATATTGAGCCATCCTAGAATAATAGCTTTAAAACAAATGCCACCATTGGTTCAAGTTGCTATTTTGTATGAGCAAATGGGATGTATCAGTGTAGAACTCTAGATAATGCTGACATTATCTGGGGCATATAACATTCAGAAGCCCCGTCAGTCAGTTACATCTGAATCTGGGAGTGAAGTAAGGTGCTTGGGGCCCAGTCATTTTATTAGCATCACAGGCTTGAGGACCATCCACTGTTTCAATTTTCCACTTATAACTAATATAACCAATGTTCAGTTGTTAGAGATTTTCTTTCTTTTATTTTGAATATATTAGTTTTATTGAGGTAATATTGGGAGACAATACTGTTTATGATTCTGAGGTATAGATTCATACCTTTTCAGATGTATTTTAGAGATCTTCAAATTTGAATCTCCGAACTAGATTTAGAGCAATGATTTTAAACTTTATCAGACTTTTTATGTAGGGTCATGGCTGGAAGGGATAGCTAAAACGCATAGCCACGCAGGACACCCGCAAAGACTAACTCAGTGTGACTGCTGTTTAATCAGGCATCTCTTCTGATCAAAGAATTTTCCAAATAGTCTTTGAAAACTGAATTTTGGAAACTATTGGTCTATTGACTTCTCTGTCTCTGTCAGTCAGACATCAATTTGGTCGACACTTCAGATGGGGGAATATAACATTCTTTTATTTAATTTGGGGTTCCAAAAAGCACTTCCACTAGGGGTCACATAGTATGGAAATGTTAAAAACAAGGTAAAAAGTTTGAGATTTATTGCAACAGTAAAGGGACTTTTTGTTTTTCCCCTAGGTCTGTAGGTAATGAACTGATATGATCTGATTCAGGCCTCTTCTAAGGCATGTACCTAATTTTGTTTTTGTGACCTCATATTCTTTTGATAAAGAAAGACCCCCTGTATGCTTCAGAGACAAAATGCTGCCTCATGGCAACTTTGGAAGTGGGGAGGGATGAGGAAAGATGACTCAAAATCTATGTGGGGCAATGAGAAGCCTAGAGGGGCTGCAAGGGGATGTAATGTGCAGCCCCCATCCAAAGGCAGCCTCGTATTTATTGGAATACAAAGGTGGGACAAATACATAGGGAGTGTGCATGAGTGAGGGTTGGTATTGGGGATGTAAGCTAGGGTGGAGTGAACAGGGGCTATAGCCTGGGGGCTCCATTATTCCTGCCAGCCAAAGCATATTATCTCTATTCTAATATCTGCTTGCTGTTTTCAGCAGATACTGGTTTCTCAACATTTTCTTCATACCTGGACTTTTGTCCCTGATGAGAGGTCCTGCATGACTGTACACCTAGCTGACAAGCAGAGACACTGAAACCAAGACAGTATCCCCCCCCAGAACAAGAAGGACCAGGGATCCCACAGATATGGTATGTAATATGGCCTGGCGGAGCCTGGGACACACAGGTCCTCAGTAAACTGAGGTGCTCCCTCTTCACTGTATTCTTTTCTTAAAAGTCATATCTGACTTTTTCCATTCATATTTCCCAATTTTTAGCTCAGTGACTGTCACCCAGGGCCACCTTAAACATTATTGAATGACAGATAGAAAGCAGGGCATGAAGAAAGGAGTACTGAATCACTGATATTTTAATTCTCATATTACTAGGAGTGCCAAGTAACAGAATTTTTTTATTTTCACTCTAACAAATGCAAGCAACCTTCTATTGACAGATAGCAGAGACACCTTGACTTGCACAACTGTAGTTTTTAACAAGCAGAATAAGTAGTGGTAGATATGAGTTTTATGGGGAACATATTGTTTCTGATTTTATAAAAATGTTGGAAGGAAACAACAATATATTAATAAATGTACTTTGTTTTATTGACTGTTAAACTAATAGACTTGCCAGCCTTTTGAGAAAATCTTCACATTTTTTTCCAAAGAAATTGCCTGGAAGAAATATGAGAACTTCTACTGCTTTTTCATTTGTCTAGCATATATAATCTGTGAGAATAAATGATTTAGACATTTTGCAGTCAATCAATATTCCTGGATCTCAGTTATTACCCTAAGTAAAAACTTACTTTTTCATAACAATGTATTTCTACAGAAATGCCATGACCACCATCTCAGCAGAAATACATATTTTAAACAGTTTTCTCTTACCTTGACTTTTGAGATGGCAACATTTTCCTATTGTCTGGCTATTGCTTTTTAAGCTCCTGTATGAACTTCTATTATCCCTTTTTTCCCTTAAGTGCTGACATTTTTGGAGCTTATGTCCAAGGTATTTTTCTTCTTTTTATGTTCTCCCTGTAAAATTTCACACACATCTGCCCACAATGTCTCCAGATATTTACCTGGAACTCCAAGTCCTAATAGTCAAGTAGTCCTGGAAGTCTAAGACACATATAACAGAGTCCATGAACATGGTCACGAGTTGTCTGGCTTAAGATCTTGGAGCAGGAGTGCTGTGTTCTACTGGCAGGGTACCTGATGATGCTGCAAAACTTAAATGAAAGTCTGCAAAGCTAGAAAGGTGCATGAATTATCTATTGGTGAAACAATGTAGAGTAGCTAATTCTTCATAATTAGTTTCTGTAATTGAAAATGAAATTAAAGTTAATTAATAATTTCTGTTTTCACTACTTTGCTTGACTCCCCCATATTAATCTGAATTAGACTGATTTTTACTTCCAGTCGTTCCCTTGAAAATTCATTTCTTACTGTTATTGTTTAAAGTTTGCACTTAAAATGTTAAGCCTGAAAGTCCTATGAAAAAGTAAGTGAACTAAGTATATTGGGTTTCATCTTTTAAATGATGTCCAAACTGAAAATTAAAAGATAACTCTTCCATTCCCTAAGTTTCCATATATTATTTTATTTTTTTTAAGATTTATTTATTTGTGCATACAAGAACTGGGCTACAGGCCAGAGGTGTGGGGGGTGAGAAGATTCTTCACCAGAGACAGACTGGGGAACAGAACAGGCAGATTGACTGAAATACACTGAGAGGGGAGCACTGGGCGAGTTAGGGGATGTCTGCTGCGCCATGTGGGATGCTCCCTGTTCTGCTGAGTATCGAACTTGTGCAACAGAGGTTGCGGGTAACTTCATAGTGCTGTGCTTGATTCCTTGCGCTACCAGGAAGGCCTCAAGTTTCTATATTTTCAAAGGCGTAGTAAAGGACTGCATTATAGTTTGTATATTTAAATTGAAATGAGGCAAGTTTCCAAAACTCTTTCAGATGGACACAAAATTCAGTTGGTTTTGCCAATGGTTCTGAAAGGTAGTTACACCTAATTTTCTGCAGTATGTTTCTCTATCTTACACTAGATCCCAGGATTAGTAAAGCAGCCAAGAAATCTGCTCAGTCTTTCTAACAAAACATATATCTGGTGAATATACTGAATTATTTCTTGGCACATCTTACTCAAGTCCTTGAGAGGTATTTAAGTGAGACTCATTATCTGGGAACCTGAAGGCTGTGTTCTAATAGAGATTGATTTTTTTCTTCAGTGTGTATTCATTTATACAGTTTCAGTAATAGAGTGTATTGTGAAAAGATCATTTGGAAAAGAAAAGTAACTAAAAAACCTAAAGAGAAGCATCTGCAGTTCTATTACAGAACAAACACATAAGAGGAATGAAATCTAGCTTGGAATCACATGTTGAAGAAAACTCTGAGTGAGGAAGAAACAGTGGTGTTGCAGAAATGATTCATTAGCTCTCAGCATCTGTAGACTGTTCTCCAGAGCTATTCTTCCTTCTCTGCTATGTAATTAAATAGGAGGAGGGTACCCACACAGAGAGAGGCCTGCAAAATAGAAAAACTGGAGTCATTTAGCCTAAATCAATATAGCATTGGAAGTGGCTGCAAGCCACACTTGAAAATCTTCCAATTCAACTAAACCAGGAAAGGACTGTTCTTGTCTCTTCAGTTTATCAGCTACTGGGTAGAGAGTAAAATAAGAAAAAAGTCAAAGACTCAAAGCTTGTTTCATAGGACCCCTGGGAAAAGCCAACATGCAACCAATTTGACCCTATCTGGAAGAGATTGCCAATAGCAATTTTCAAAGAATAATATCTGTATAAATGGAACATACACTTAAGAATAGGAATAAGAGTTTGATCCCTTACAGCTCCATCCATGGGGCTGCAAATTGCATGAGTTTATCTTTTTTGATTGCTGAGTAATATTCCATTGTGTATGTATACCACATCTTCTTGATCCAGTCATCTATTTTTGGACATTTGGGTTGTTTCCATAGCTTAGCTATTGTAAATAGTGCTGCTATAAACACAGCAGTGCAGGTACCCTTTTGAATTAATTAATTAAATACAAGTTTTGGCAGAGTAAATAATATGTCTGAAAATTTTGAAATTTCATAAATGCCTTATAAGCTTTATTACTCTGGAGTATTGTAGTAAAATCAATTAAAATTGTATTTTCTGGACTTTTCCAGTTAAATGTTTCCTAAGAAATGTTCTCCCCAAAACTAAAGATCTAAAGGGATTTGCAAAATAGCTATTAACAGTTATTTAAATGTCATTAATTTTTTAAAAAGGATTTGATCATGAGACATCAAGACCCAGTAATATTGTTTAAGAGAAAGTGTTTCTCAGATAGGAGGAGAAAGTTTAATAGAGAAGCACTAATGAACCTCCTGGTCTATGAGTGCCTTGCATGGATTTGTCACAACAGACCTCTCTGTCTATGAAGTACTCCTCTTTTGTTTGCTGTGACAGGGCATCCTCTTGATTTTTCTCCTCTCCCCACTGCTTGCAGCCTCCACCTACAATTTTTCACTCTCCACCATTGGTTCTCTACCATGACTCAGAATGAAATATCTTTCATTTACTGCTCACTGGAAATACATTCTCTTCTTTGTCCATGCTACAAACTCCATTTTAAAAACCAAATTCCATGAATATTTTTATATTCTCCAAATTTCCTTTATATCATTGATATCTGTAAAGGTTTGACAGTATTCATAGACAGTGCCCCAAAATACTCTTTTTTTTTTTTTTTTAAAGATTTATTTATTTATTTATTTATACAAGCACTGGATACAGTCAGAAGTGCGGGAGGGTGAGAGAATTCACCAGAGTCAGAATGGGGAGCAGAGCAGGCAGACTGACAAAGAGGAGCAGCGGGTGGCAGGAGAGGTCTGCGCGCCATGTGGGACCCTTATCCTGTGGCGGGGGATCAAACCAGTGCTGCAGAGGCTGCGGGCAGCTTTGCAACCCAGCGCTCAACCGCTGTGCCACCGGGGAGGCCCCAAAATACTCTTAAGCAAAAGTGGGGAACTTATTATTTTGATCTTATTAACATGCTTTGAATATTTTCATTCCAATGGGCAGTTCATGCAAGATAGCTCAAATTGTTAGAGTACAAACTGAGGGTCCCCCCCCCCACCCAGGAACCCAAAACTTACACACTCTACATGGATTCTGCCCTTCAATGCATAAAGACAAAGCATACTCTTAAAGTGAAAGAACTTTAATGGAGTAGTGTGCATAGAGAGAAAAAGATGGGTAATAGTTTCCCAGTAAAACACCCTAAGTTACCCATTCCTTCACGGGTAAATGTCTAGCTAAACAGGGTTGATCCAAAGTGGGGTGGCTGAGGCCTGAAAGCTTGTGACAAATCAAAGACACCTTCTGGTGGGAAACCATAGGAAAGGGTAGAAAACGCCAGGAAAGTTTGGATGAAAGAAGCAAAATCAGAGTACAAATCAAGGTAACAGCTGCCATTGCCAGTCCCCACAGGTCTCTCATCCATGTTTCTTCCACTTATCTCTATATGCATCAACTCCAAGTGTCACCTTCCATGTCCCCCAAGTCCCTGGTGCAAGCCCACCTCCAAGAAGCAAGCAGACCTTCTTCTTCATATGCCTCTGCTCCAGGTGCCTCATCCAAGGAGTGTTCAGCTTCTCCCTCCTGCTCATCTCCACATTTCATTAGTTGGGGCAAGGAACACGGAACCTCCATTTTTTATGGAGATTACACTGTTACAATATGATGGCTCTTTTGTTTTTTCTTTTAGGGCAGATTTCAGCTACTTACTCTCTAAATGAAGGGTATGTTGAAGTGATTGGCAGGCGTGACAGATCTCATCAGGGATGCTCTTCACAAGGAAAACTGATGGATAGGGCCTCCCTGGTGGCACAAGGGGTTAAACACAGCAGTGTGAAGCAATCTGCAGCCTCCCCAGCATGAGTTTGATCCCCAGCAGCCAGGGAGCTACCCACATGACACAACAGACCTCTCCTGTCTCTCCCACTGCTCCCCTTAGCAATGTTTTTCAGTCAGTCTGCCTGTTCTGTTCCCCGTTCTGTCTTTGGTGAATCCTTTCACCCCCAGCATCTCTGGCCTGCACCCCAGCTCTTGTATGCATAAATAAATAAATCTTTAAATAAAAGA